TTTTTGTTAGCATCACCGTAACTGCACTTTCAATTAATTAAGTTTACAACAGTACAAAAGAAATATAAATGCCAAAATATTTGGTACCTATGTTTTGTTTTACCTGTATTGTTAACAATATTGCACTTGGAAGAGATATTATATCAAGGATCATCTTTGATGATCAAGAGATCACCCTTGAACATTGTACTATACACGTGTTCCAGGTAATATTAATCAGATAATGCAAATAGATTATCAGCGGCGACGTCACATATGAGATTGTAATACACAGGATCATAGAGAAGTGTGTCACATGCAATATGAAGGTAAAGTTACCAAGATAAAGCTAAGGATATCCAGGGTAAGATCACAAGTAATATCCGGATAAGGTTACTCAGATTAGATTATAGATTATCAAAGATAACAAAACTTGTTAACATTACCTTTTATACGATCGTTCAGAAGTAGGTCATAGATAGTGTATGATTTCTGGTATTGATACAAAGTTGACAGATTGACAACAATAAGAACATTTATACAAGTTTATCTTTCGCAAGATCATACAAATGTGTTTCGCAAGTAGTATCTAAACCTACTTAAATTAAATCAGAAGCTTATAAAAGAGAAGAACACTTATTCAAGATCATATTTTATACGGTAGCACAGAAGAATGACACAGGTAAGGTCTGTCAGATGAAATTTGCCCTAAATCTTAGAGTTAATATTTTAATTAAACAGATAGAAGATAATATATTGTGAACGAGCTCTTTCTCAGACCTAGGCTCTGCCTTGGCAGGTTAGTTTTAGATAGTTTTGAAAAAATACTTTAAGATATAGAGATTACATATTGTATAATAGAAATACATAGTAATGTAAAACATAACTATAATTGGGTAGCTATTTTGATGAACAGGACTTTTAAGTCAAAATATACCTTGTTTAAAATAAATGTTTATATCTCGATTTGCAATTCTAAATCAAATAAAATCAGTGAACACCCAGAAGATAATTAGTATCTACATCATTAGGAGTATGCCAAATTACTGAAATTTGCAGATTTAATAATCTTGCCCATTAATAATGTTAGATAGGTTAGTAACCACTGTTGCATTCTTAGTGACTGCAGTAAATCTATAAAAACTCAAACTTTACCCCACTGATTGAATTTTGACATCAGTTAAATTCTGAAACTTAAGTTAAATAATTGTTGTAAGTTTACTAAGAATTAAGACAAGTACTAGGGGCCTACTTAAGTATCATCATTAAATTAATTTGCAGTGTTAATTGCACTGCTTTGAAATGTAACATCAAGCTAGGAAATTAGAGAGCTATATATTATATTTAAAAGGGTTTTTGTAATTTTATAACAACAGTATATGACTGTGTTTTTTTTTCTATTATCATAAAACAAACTTCTTATAAATAAAAATTGCGAAATATACAGTACAGAAAACACTGGACATTTTGTGGAAAAAGTCCAAAGATCCAATAACATTATGCCTCAAGTGACGAGTTTTATAAAGTTTTTATAATCATGGATAAAATATAGTATATAACAAGTCACACTGCATAATATTTGTGATTTTTGCTAGAAAGCTACCGGTACTTATTAAGATAGCAGAAAAATCTACGAAGATTTATATTTATTTCCATGTAAGAAATTCTAAAGATGTCACAAACTTCTAATACATCAATACCTTAAAATAGCAACGAAGAGACATCGTGTTAATTGTATTTCAAATCCCCCTACCCTGTTTTGCCTGAACAGATTATGGAAATGCAAGATTAGTTCATTTGCAACATCAACATTGCAATCGGCGCTAAGCTCAATCGTCGTTGCTATTTTGGTCACCAGTCAGTAAATAATGCAGTTCTTGGAATGAATTATATTTAGACACTGATTCGTTGTCCACGCTTTGTCACAGAAAATATTATTGGGTTTCTATAAATCTGTATAAAACAGTTACCTGAGAATACAGTTAGTTGAATAATTGATTTAATAGAAACAATACTCAAAATATAAAACACACTTTTAACACACATGTGAAATGATAAATATCTGCTATGGTTTGTAATATGTAATATGCAAACACACACAATCGCAGAATTACTATGCAAATCTTTCACAAAGCGAGAGTAAGGAAGGCTCTTGGCCTGAAGGGTAAATTGAACAAAAGCTATGTAACAAAACGATGTGTAACTTTCCACACAATTCTAGAACGTAACATGAAAACAAATGAACTGAAAACACCGATTGTCCGTGTAAAATTGTTTTCTATTGTTTCTCAACCTGAACTGAAGGAACTTATCAATTGGAAACATGTGTGGCTACTCGTACGTTCAATATCAGTTTTGTTATTTTATTGATTGTTATCTAGTATAGCTTTCTGAATCACTGTAAATAGGGTTAGTCAGTTATTAAGTGATGAACTTAATAATATTCTTGTCAACGCCAATAATCAGCATAGTTGCGCTAGATTCTAGGGAAGATTTTAAACTAAAATTTTGATAAAATTATTTCAAAATATTAGAACTGCAAAAAATTGTACAATTTTACATTCAAAAAATTAATTTTTACATTCAAAAGGTCTATTGAAACTAACAGGTGGAATGCAAAACCATTAAAAAATATAAACTCCGTTCCTATTTTCTACAGAAATGAGAAAGGGTAAATTCAGAATGTGGTTAGAGAAATGTGCTTCAGACGATAGACCCGATAAACCTTCTGCAACCAACTGCCAACCCTACTACCCACACGGTCTGTTGTTTTATAGTTTGTTTAAAGTGGTTTGTTAAGTTAACTGTCAGTTCTGTTTTTAACCGACATCCCCACTACCAACAAAAGGAGGAAGTTCTCAATTTGTCTGGGGCGATGTTTTTTTTTTTTTATGTATGTTCACCAATTTCTCTGTGATTCTTTTACCGAACAGCGTGGTTCCACCACCAAAATAACCAAGAGAGTTTCTATTTTGTACCATATATAGCATTATGTTTAATAAAAATATTTGTTTGGTGAAAAATGCTGAAAACCTCAAATATTCAACATTTATTTTGTTTATATTTTTGCAGAGAAGGGATTAAATAATAATAACATTCCTACAGCTGTTAGTTAAAACCATTTAAATGAAGCTACAACCAGTTTCTTCATGAGACAGTTGCTTCATATTGATTAATAAACTATTTCTTGCCATGGAGCCTAAATAAATTACATTGAAAAATGCATTTCGTTTTGGTTACTATAAAAAAGGTATTTCAACGTTTGACCTGATTTGTGTATGATTCTGTTTTGAGTATTGAATATTCTGACTTATAAAAACATAGTGAATAGCTGTATGATATTGACAATTTAAGGTGTATTGTGAAAACCAAAGCATTCGTAAAAGAGGTCTAAACATAAATTAGATGCAATTATTCCATAAACGACATAAAGAGGTGTGAGATTGCATAATCGTCAATCGTCTTTAAAGTGTTAAATATTTTAATTACTAAACATGCATTTGAAGATGTGGAATTTTTATTAATATTCTTCACTGTCAATAATATTATGCCTGCTTCGGAAATGGGAAGCTGATTTGCAATTTCGACTACATCTGGAGCAAACAAAACCACCTACCCCTTACACCTTTACTTTTAGCTGAACCAATCTTTCATATACGCATTTTTCAAAGGTGTTACGTGATAACAACCAATTTTCTACTTTTAAGAGATTTTTTAGTGCTGGTGGCTGAGGAATAACTTTCTTATCGTTCCAAAGGGCTTGAGACCTTACTGTATTTCGTTTTATAATGTAGAAGTACACCAATTGCAGGAAACAATGATGTCTGGCATTTCAATGTCTCTAGGAAAGACATTTTTTTAAGGAAAATCCAAAAATTTTAATTTTTATACCCATTGATAATGTAAACTGAACAGGTGACTCAAGCAGTTTAAAAATAATGATTCTTCTGTGGCACTTTTGATTATTTCAAACAGTTTTGCATTTTAAAACACTTCAAGTAATTAATATATAACAAATTATACAGTCACTATAAATCATAAAATAATTTATTTTTGTTTAAAAATACAACCGACTTTGAATTCTCTAAAAAGAATGAAATAATTTCAATAAAGTAAACTTTTGTATTAGTCAAGCTCACGTATTTCAAGTCTCCCCCTATAAAAAAGTAATTTCTGGCCATATATGGCCATATCAAAATATATGTTTTTATAAAGCCATATATGGTCTTTATGGCCATATATGGAAGCAGATATGGCCAGATGTGGTTGTATCCATATATGGTTGCCCATATATGGTCATATATGTAGTCTATATATGGAATTATTGGCCATATATGGCCATACATGTTTTCTATATATGAAATGATTGTCCATATATGGCCATACGTGTTTTCTATATATGAAATTATTGCCCATATTTGGCCATAAATATCCTCCATGTATGGAATTATGGTCTATATATGGCCATATATGACTCCCAGGTATGGAATTAAATTACTCATATATGGAATAATAATTTTCCATTTATGCTCATGTAGGCTATAAATGAGTTTTTGACAATAACTGGAATTATTATAAGGAATTGTTGCCACATTTGGATTTTGTAACTGGACTCCCAAACACTTCTTATAATATATATAATATTATAAATCTTAAAGTTTGTGAGTTTGTGTATTTTCTTGTTGCTCTCGCAAGCACAAACTACTGAACTGGTTGAGTTGAAATGTGGTACAGTAAGGGGGGGCAGATAGTATAGGCATTTCTCCTTAAAGTAATTAGTAGTAAAGTAATAAAGTATCCAGAATTGAACCCAGATGACAAAATCCTGTACATACATCTATTGTACAAGTTTATTATCTGTTAGTTTATTTATCTGGTTAGTACTCCAATTTAGGCATCCAGAGTTAAAAAACTACTGTTGTTTTTAAACGGGGTTAGAATATCCATTAGTATTAGATATGTATTCTGGGAATGTTCAAATTAAACACTAATCAGTACATATGAAACATATAATCCTCGTCAGGTAACAAACATGTATACAACCATTAATCAGTGCTAATATACAATTATAACATGTTAACAGACATTATTGTGGTGCATAGGATTCATATCAAGTATTAAGTATACAAATAACTTAATTAAACTATAACAAATCAAAGAGAAACATAAAATGATTATCATGCTACACCCTAAGTGCAACAATAAACACTTTTTTGAGTAAAGTTTAATGCACTTTTTTACCATGTAAACTTAAGTAAAGTAGTTTTATGGTAAACCTATATACGATTAACATTGTAACCATTATTAGGTAAAGAATCAAGTAGTTAATTGATTCATACGGTAACCCAAAAACGATACATTTTAAGAAGAAATAACTCTTTTATGAGGTTTTGGTCAACATGTCTCCCACTGGTGTTATTGAAGATAAACTAAAACTGTATAAATTCGAATAAAATAATTAGAGGCAAAAAATCTATAACATTTCAAAAAACTTTATTTTGATATTTTAATTCTTTAAAAGGTGATAACTTAACATGGATTCATTATAAACTATGTAAAAAAAATTGATTATTTGCTATCTAAGTTATCATCAAATTAATATTATGTACAATAGTAACTGGATCCACCAAAACTCAGCTATTTAACATTCACGACAAATTACAACACCTTTTCGCATCAAAAGTGTTCAACTCTCTGGATATGTAATAAATATAATTTGATTTTCGATGCTATAAAACATTATTAAAGTAACTAGTAGTAAATGGTACGTATTTTAAAATAATGTGTTGAACAAAAATACAAACTCGACATTTACACGCATTTAGTCGTATGTAATCCGTAATATACGCATAGAGGATAAAAGAATCATTAAAAGTAGTCTGTATGGATCTAATAACGTCGACACTAAAACAAAAATGTAAAAATCGATGTAATTAACAATTATTTCGTGGTATGACTGTAGGGTTTTGGTGTCTTAATCATTTTGTATAAACTTACCCAAATAAATCGAACAGACGATGTCTGGAAACTTCTATACTATGACACAGACTCCGTAATACATTAAAATGATCACTAAACATAACAGTTAACACAGTAAATGATCGACACAGCAGAACAGCTAAGATATAATATAATGAATAAAGCTATTCAACCGCAGCCTTCTACAGACATGATAAGTTTAAACTTATTTTAAAGAAAGGTGAAAGAATTGGGGGACGATAACAACATACAGTTTGGTACACATGTAAAGTTCTCATTGGCTGTTAAACTCGTAGTTCTCAATAAAATTTTATTATTCAGAAAAGTTAAAAGTAATTAGGTACAGTTTACTTTCAGTTATATTAAGAAATGGCGTGTTTATGTATAGTATTTCATTAGTTCAATAAAAAAAAGAAGGATTAAAAACTTATCTCCGACTATGCGATATGTTTTCACGTATACAGTACTGTAAACTTCTATTAGACGGTAAATTTATGTAACATATGATGGAATCGCAATCAATTTTAACCATTGTCTTGAGCGCGAAATGAAAATTAAATGAAAAATTATTTATACTGGCAAAAGCTAGGGGCCACATGGCCCTTTCTTACACTTAACCAAGTCGGTGTATTTTTGTCTGGGTTTAACCCAAGAACGTCTATTTCGTCATATTTCATTTGTACCCTATTTAACAAAAGTAGGACTATATTCTCTGGCTGATAGTGTCAGATATTTTCCGGTGTTACTTGCCAATATTGATCGCTCTAGTGATATATTTTATATTAATAAACCGAAACTTTACTTACTCGTATAGTATCGAATCTCTATAATATCAGCAACATGCAAAGTGGTAATAATTAAAATATTAAATCGTTAAAGTAAGATCAAAATTAAATTTCGCTTTTTGTTGGGACACAAAATCACAATGAAAATTGTAAGTCGGATGATTACAGTTTTGAACCATTGCAAAATGATCACAGAATTTGGATTTTTTTATATGTGTTGTTTTAAATAATAACAAGACCTATTTTAATTTGTATATCACGTATATTATATAGTAATTTTAAACTATATTAGCACACTTTGTAAAATTAAGATATTTTACATTCCTGTAAAACTTAGATTATTTGGATCCATGTGTACAGTCGCCCTAAATGCAAAAGTGACAAAGAAACAATTATTGCATAAACATATATTTTTCTTTAGATTGAGTTTTACTTTTAAATTTGGTAGCTTTATGTCCCAGCCAGTCTTCCATAAGTATTTTAGTGATACTCCTAGTGCAGCTAATAGCTCCTAGTATAATAATTGAATCAAATATACATAAATATGCGTTTCAAACAGTTTCGAATGGCATATATCATTAAAAATGTCAGTGCAGAAATATAAAATAAATGTTATTAGTTTATTTTTCCACCTTTTGATAAAAGTTACTCAAATTTTGGGCCACAAAAAACACAGAAATTTGTGGCATTTTAAAATAATCAATCAGCCATACACCTTTTGACATAGCCTACTATAACAAAATATGAACAGCTATTGAGGACCAAAAGATTTTTTTTTTAATTTATTTTACATCTTATTTACTATTTTGTCAATGGTTATTACTTTATAGTAGTTCATTCCCTTTACTTGTAGCCACGTGTCCAAATACACATAGAGGACTACAAACTACAGCGCATAGCACAATTTGTATTGTTATGTGTTATGATTGTAATTGGTAAATTGTTTAAAAACAACGATTAACATAGAATAGATCTGTATATTACAGCCATATGCTAACACTACACTAAAGTTATGTATATATCACAGGCAAGCCCCGCTAGTACATTGTACAAATAATTCAAACTATCTTAGATCAGAACACCATAGAGTATAACCGTAAAATATATTCAGTAGAGTAATAATCCAACAGTACTTCTTCTTAGTATTTTTTGTACAGATACTTAAAAACTACTATTTTCGTCATACTGCAGCAAATACAGCTGTTTTAATGCATGCGTTGATGGACTAAAGTAGAATTTTCGCTCTCTAGGGAGTAAAAAGAGTTTTTAACCCCTAGGGAGTAAAAATCAGCTGTTGTCAACTGAGTTGTAAATTTCGATTGTAAACAATTGCATGTATCGAAAAAGAAAGCAAATTTATTGATTGTTTAATCGATTGTAGTTAATTGTGCCTTATCGCAAAATAGTTCAACATATCGACACACAATCGAAATAGACGAAATGGTTGAATCACTTACCAAACAGCTGCTTATTTTCATTAGCAAAGTAAATTGAAAACAAGCTAGAATTAGTTTTAAGAGGTTATCAAATGAAAACTGTTTTAGTTTTTTAACATAGTTTGTTTAAATTCTGGTGCAATATGACGAAAAATATAGTTTATCACAAGGGCATAAAGTGTCTTTCCAACTCCCGCTCATTCTGAGACCCCGGCTTCGCCCCGATCGTAAAACTTGAGCTCAGGGCGAAAAAAATCACTGTAGGCCCTAGTGATGAAATACACTATTACCGACGAATATTCGTAAAACTTAGAAAAGGTAACACTTTATTATGTCATGTCGTTTACAATTTTAAACTAAATATTTCCTTGCCTAGGTTAGTTATTCAATCTTTGAGCGTTATTTGTTAATTGATTTTCATTATTAATTTATATTTATGCAAATATACTTGACGGCTTGATTTGTAATGTAGATGCAGATTCGAAATCGATAGTTTTAAATTGCATATAGTTATATATACATATAGCAAGCTTTGTAAATTACCAAAGTAATCAACAGCATACACGTATATCCGAATGTGCTTTATAAAAATTACCAACACAGTAAAAGTTGACAAAACAACTGTGAGTGCTTGAGATAAAAACAGTTACTATGGCACACATAGAAATTGTCTGTAATATGTACAAACCCTAATTTATCAATTTGAGATCACACAAAACCATTTTAATTTATCGATGTACTTCCCACTAATACGTCTTTCTGTTGAACAAGTGTGTGTGAGGTTGTTTAACATACATTAAAGGATTTAAAACAGTGGAATTAATCATCATAGCAAGTTCAGCTGGTTCGTATTGATGGGATAATCATCCGAGTTATACAAAAAAATCTGCGAACTTTAAATTTTTAATTGAAAAACATACGTTTTTATAGTAACAGTGTTACTTACGGGCTGGGCTATTGATTATAACCCATGAAAATTAAAAATATCATACAATATTAATCTATTACTCAGTAAATAAATACTTGTTATTAAATTATTTACCACACTATTTATTTAAGGTGTCTTAGTTTCAACGTTTGCCAAATTATAAGAAACTCATCGAATAACAGAAAACGGAATTCACAACTCGCTTAGTATAAAATTACAATTTTATCTTTAATGAGTACTAAAATACTGTATATTTATTTATATCAACCTTTTTCATAAAAAAAAAACATGTATCACACAGTAAATTTGAAATTGTGATTAATTAAGTAAATTGGACCCTACATAAATTAGTGGTTACGGCCTGAAAACTATTTGACCGTTCATATTTCACACACTATATAAATGTTAAAATAAAATAAATGTTTCTCTATTTATTCCTCGTGTGAACGTCTTTTTACAATATTTAATAAACACAGCACAAAGTCCCGCTATTTCAATCAATCACTCAATACAGTCGTGAATTACGCATATTTTAAGATTGAAACTAAGACACTCCTCTTACAGCTAACCTTGCTCACTTGATTGTATTAAAGATGGCTTTGCAATATAATTGATTGTAAAGTAGACAAGAGTTTTAGTAGATGGCCTTAGGCCTGAGAGGCTTTCTCTCTATGTTCCTTGGCCCTCATGAAGTATGTAAGCAAGTCTATGGGCAAAGGGAACACAATAGTCGAGTTCTTCTCGGCGGAGATGGTATTGAGTGTCTGTAACAGAATAGTCTTGTTTTAGTCCAGTAAATCTGTCAAAAAAATAGGGGGTTGCTGTGCAAAAGGTCGGGTAGTTCTGATTTTTGGATATGTTGTTAGTATTGGGCCCATAACATAAAATCCAAGTTATCCACCTCGAGATACTGCCGCTCGCCGCGGGGCGTGCCACTTGTTATCGAAATATAAAAAATATGGCAATTCCTATTGTTTTTCACTCAATTTCGCGAACCGTTGATTTTACCGAAAATTTTATACTATTACATTAAAGAAGAATAAATTTGTGACAGTTTAAGCCCAACAGCAAGTATGTAGCGTAAATAATGGCCAAAATACAGACCATTAAAATAAATAAATTTTCCAAAGACGTATAAACATTGTGGTTTTTTTCAATATTTCCACAATATAGTTGTTTGAAGCAAACACCGTATTGATTTAGAGAGTATGCCAGTTTATTTGCTATTAATAGAAAATAAATGAAAGTATGAATAAAAATACCCCCACCTCAGCAAACCTGCACACTAAGCGAATTTCCATTTGCTTGATTTAATTTTTACAAACCTATTTAAATAACATTAGGTTTAACTGGTACCTAGGTTTGCTGCTACAGGGAGGGTAATATAGTATATAAATTAATTATAGTATGATAAGAAACAAATTTACCCAATTTTATAAAAATGTGTCTATAAATAAGGAAATTAACAATAATTAAAAATCTTTGCTATTGGAATAACTTGAGGTTTTTAAATTTACATTTTTAATTTTTTCCGTAACCAATAACTGTAAAAAACATTTTAATGTACTAAATTATTTGTTTTTAAGCTCTACAAAATTCTTTAATGATACAATTGTAAAATTGTATGTTTTGAGGGTTAAAAATGAAAAAAAAATATTCTTACCGGCAAAATACCTATAAAGCAACCGTTCCTACGGCCTTATCATGCCGATCATGTTTCGCGAACTCGTTTTAATAAATAAATGTACGTTTACATGATTCAATGATTTATTTAGGCCATTAAGCATAAGCAATAGGCTAAGTCACTCACAATACAAAGTAAATGATAAATAGTCCATCTCTTGATTCACAAATAAAAAAAAATGTTTGTACCAAATTCCACTAAATCGGATGATTTTTGGGAATCATCGTGCTAACGGACGATAATAACTTTTTTGGATACAGTTTAGTAAAATCTTTAGTTTTTTTTTTTTTTTTTTTTTTATACAGGGTCTCCAAAAAACTCACCTAGTTTAAAAATTTATTTGTTTATTTTACTAGATACAAACTACTGTTCAACGACTGATGCCATAGAGAAGGCTATGCTGATACATTAAATGAAAGGTAATAAAATACAAGTTATTTTAACACTATCACACCTCAATATGCGAACCATTTTTAGCCCTGCAGACATGCATTTTTATCATTAATATTTTATTATTTGTATTATAATTTATTACCAAAACTATGTTCAAGGTCAAATAGGTGTACGCAACTTATTGTCAACGTACGAAACTAAAACTTTGAAGTATACTCTACACAGCACGAAATGATTATTACTCATCCATTTGAACAATAGTATCGTGAGGTATGTTTAAAACTATGGAGTCTTTTCGGACACCCGGTATATATACATACATGTATATATATTTATATATGTTATACAAATTTTAACCAACAGTATTTTTGGCCTCTAGGAATACCAAAATGAAAAAGTAAATCGGTCCCGGGTCTAGGTCTTACCATGAGACCTACTGCAATAGCGTATTCCCTATAAGGGAAATTTGCTAATAATCAGCATATCATTTATTTTGAATGGTGTGTGTTGAGGAAACCACTATTTAATCTTTTCATCAATTTCGTTGTCTCGAGCAATGCGAGAATGGCGCATGTCAACATGTTGCTCACTGTTAATGTTCAACTGACGTAATTTTTTATAATATTTCTCAACTTCCTACAGATTTAATGAGGACGGATCATCCCAAGCGCCGATCAAGTTACAACATTTTGTCTGTTATCCCTCGTCCTCGAGTCAATCCACCAGAGCTTTTCATTGTCTTTATGAGGGCCTGTTCGATGGCCTAATCAGACCAAATTCCACACCAGAACTTGTCTGTACGTCTTGCAGTGAAATTTCCGATCTTTGTGAATTTTTGTGTTCTTCAATATAAATCCTGTATTTCAATTCATATTCAGCATGTCCTGTATAGATGGGCGCACTTGGCGTGGAAAAATTGCCCGCTGCATGGAAGATCTGTAGAGTGATTGTAATTGGAAGATCTTATTTGCCTGATCTTTCAGCCTAAATAAACTGTTAACTATGTTAAACTGTTTTATTTTGTTTTCATGTGAAAGTATTGGACCCAAAGCTTAGCTTAAATGTTTATGTACATTTGATAGCTTTGGGAAGAGTAGTTTTGCCGTTGAAGGTATATTTTGAAGGTCTGTTTTCGGCATGTAAACCTACATTTATTAAAACGAGTTAGCGAAGCATGATCAGGCCATGGGAACGGTTGCTTTATGGGTTTTTTTGTTAAGAACGAACGGTTTTTTCGAATTTTTGACCCTCAAAATATACAATTTTACAATGTATCTCTAAACCATTTTGTAGAGCTTAAAAACAAATAATTTAGTAGGGCCTACATTAAAATGTTTTTTACTGTTATTGGTTACGGAGAAAATTAAAAAATGTATATTAAAAATCATCAAGTTATTCCAATAGCAAAGATTTTTAATTATCGGTTTTTCCTTATTTATAGACACATTTTTATAAAATTGGGTAAATTTATTTGTTTCTTATCATACTATTATTATTTTATATACTACATTACCCTCCCTGTAGCAGCAAACCTAGGTACCAGTTAAACCTAATGTTATTTAAATAGGTTTGTGAAAATTAAATCAAGCAAATGGAAATTCGCTTAGTCTGCAGGTTTGCTGAGGTGGGGGTATTTTTATTTATACTTTCATTTATTTTCTATTAATAGCAAATAAACTGGCATACTCTCTAAATAAATACGGTGTTTGCTTCAAACAACTATATTGTGGAAATATTGAAAAAAACCCACAATTTTTATACGTCTTTGGAAATTCTTTTTATTTTGATGGTCTATATTTTGACCATTATTTACGCTACATACTTGCTGTTGGGCTTAAACTGTCACAAATTTATTCTTCTTTAATGTAATAGTATAAAATTTTCAGTAAAATCAACGGTTCGCGAAATTGAGTGAAAAACAATAGGAATTGCCATATTTTTTATATTTCGATAACAAGTGGCGCGCCCCGCGGCGAGCGGCAGTATCTCGAGGTGGATAACTTGGATTTTATGTTATGGGCCCAATACTAACAACATATCCAAAAATCAGAACTACCCGACCTTTTGCATACCAAAATGTCTTATTTTACTGGACTATTTAGGAAGAGTGAAGGCGAATTGTGGAAGTGGAAGTGGAGGTTGTGGGGTGTTTTGACTCCATTGCCTCCATGGCCTTGCCGAAGTAGGAAACGATATCTAACGGTAGAGGGAAGATAATGGTGGAGTTGTAGGCAGAAATTGACTTCAAGGTCTGCAACAAAAACCACTTCGCTTTACTAGAGTGCGAAAAGGGGTCTACAGGGTCTACTTAGGTCTTCTGAGCTAGATCTAAGAGGTAATGATTACGTTTGTCCTCCTATCATTTTTGACGATCTTTAGTTTTAAATTTGGATACTTTTAATTTGTTTATAGATAAATTATTGGGCTAAAGTAATTTTGGTTTTATAAACAAGTTTAAGTATAATTTGGCACCGGATGCAATGGAGTTTTTGATGGTTTATAGATTGGATTACCTATTCTTAAGTATTAAAAGGTCTCATCTGCGAGTTTCAAGTATGAGTGAGAATTTATACAGCCTACTAAATACGAGTGAACAGCCTGCGTGAAACACGTGCGTAAATATTTCTCTTCAAAACGAGTTGTTGTACAAGTGCAGCGAAATTTTCCTACGTTAGTTATTAGCTTAGGGTGAAAATATTTAGGTTTTACTGAACATGTTTACTGTGAAATACATTTATTTAATTCGCAAAACTTTAAACTTGTCAATCAGAAACAACCGGCAAGTTAACTGAAATTAGAAACCTGAAATTGTGACATTTTATTTTTATTTTAGTGCAAGAAATGTTATTGATAGGTTGTCTAATTAAATAGTGCGGTGCAGAAGAGAGTATGTGAGATTTCATGCAAACACAACGCTCCATGTCAATGTACCTGGAGATATCTCAGCTGAAGAGCTGCAGGCGAATCTCCTATTACTTCAGACGCTTCTCGGAGCGCTCTGGATGCCTTCTGCTCTCCTTCTGCAGCTATCACCTGAAACATAAGTGAAATGAAGGATTTTCATTCCTTGCATCCTGTCCATTACCGTAGAACTAGGAGAGTGCCATTACTGTATTGATCACATAGACAGACTGAGAGTGTATGTGGCAGGAACCTGAGACGATGGGGATCAATTTATCATTCCAAGATACCACTTAACTACAGAGTTCATTCAGTCGTACAGTATTAGGATTTTGACATTCAAAATCATATTATACCTCATTAATGAAGAGGGTTTTCTATTGTAAAACAGAGGGGGTGTAAAACAGGGGGGCTTCTATTGTATACGATATGGTAATTGTAATTTAATAAACGTTTAGGTTCTTTGTTAAACATTTATTGTAAGCTAACAATAAATTTGTTTATTCTTCTCGTGTGTACTCTCTTTCAAGGTGCAGTTGAGGCAAACAATAACCATGCTGGTTTCATAAAAGCAGCATTTCCTTAATGTAGGCCCTTTTTTACTTCCTTAATTTTTATCTTAAAAACCAATCTAAAAATAAATTAAATATATATTAAATATTGAAGTTAAAACGTATAACAAATATTAGGAATTTCAAATTAACTGACACTATGACCACTTAAATAATAACCCTGCCCCAGTAAACCTGCAGGCGAAACCAATTTGAATTTGTATGATTATACTTTAACCAAAATATTCCCATAAACAAGTCTAATTTATTTCCAATTTAAATAAAATTAGATTTGAGTACTTAAATTTGCTGCTGCGGGGTTAGGAAAATGTGTGCTTTGGTCAATTGTTAATAGTATTTAATGAAATCAATAAATTTTGCAACATTTTTTTCAAAATATACTGATAAATAGGCAAACTACAAAAGTTTTCTTTTCTTTCATAAGAATAACATTTAAAATGTATACATTTTACAATATACAATTTTACATTTTATAATTTTAACATTTTAAATGGGAATTTTAAATGTACAATTTTCTGTGAAATTTTCTCCGTAATATTTAATAAAATTATTTGTTAAGATCTACATGATGGCTTTAATGAAAATAAGTAATTTCCATGTTTTAAGGAAAACAATATGAAAAAAAAACTAATTGAGAAAACAAATGAAAAACTTCAATACCCCACAACACCCCATTCACATGAACCGATCTTACTGGTTCGCGAACTTATTCAAGTTTATCCAGATCCTTACATCAAATCAATCTCCTCAAATTCATAAAACTGTGACCAATATGACTCTAGTTATCATGTTAACGGACGCATATTATGCACATATATGTAAACATTTAAAAAAGGATTGTGTTTCTGACCTTTGGGAACGCCAACGGTTATAACTTATTCCCTATATGAAATCCGCTTACGAGGCAGCAGGAGTCAATAATTTTGCATTGTTGTTGACCGTCAGATGCCAGCCTAAACAATGGTTGTCCTAGCGCTGATCAGCAAAAGCATGCGTTCACGTTCAAGCATATTAATCATGCACCGTAAGCTTGATTATCGAGCAGAAAGTCTTATGTGATTCTATATTTTCCGTGTGAATTGTTTTTCGGATTGATAAAACTTTTGTTTTAGAGGTTGAACAAATCATATTTTAAGTCAATATATTTATATAGTTTGGCAAAATAATAACAATTAAAATTAAAGTAGATAACAAATCGCATCTGCAGGTTCAATGCTGTATCTTTAAAATTATATATTTTTCTACTATTTATCTTAATAAACAATGCCGTTATATGCTTCAACCATTGCCATTATGGGCAGAAAATCCAAGATGACAATCAAATTCAATTGCAATAAGAGATTTTATAATTCTGAATCTTTATTTAGCTAAAATTGACTTGTTTATGTTTTCAGTGGCCGAGATTTACACTACCTTTGCTCTAGCCTCCCTAGCAGCCTCAGCTTCCGCCGCCATCGCCCTCTGCAGCTGAACTGGTAGCCTCACGTCCTTTCTGAAACATTCAATCAATGTCTGAGTCCTTGGAGGCTAGCGGCCATTTTGGATGAATGCAAACAGCTGCTGAATAGTTATTTACCATATCAAAATATTTGTTCAAACATCAGAGTGATTGTAATTTAAATATCTAGTAAACTGTGAAATTAGAAATTTGTTTGTAGTTTTTTTTTATTATTTTACAAGTTAGGACGTCTAGGTTCCAAGGACTCTTAACTTGACTAATGCTAAAACATATTGTTTATACAGGGAACATTTTTTTCATGTTCATCTACTATTGCTGGAAAATTTTCTGTTCGATTCATAACTGTTAAATTATGCTTGTTTATTAGAGGAAAAAATCAGCAACGGGGTTGAAAAAGTGTTTAACTGTATCCAAACAAATCACTGTAACGAATAATTATTTAAAAAAAATTGAGATTATTACATTAGCTTATCTAGGTAACTTTCAATATTGAAGTGACCCAAAAAGTATCAACCTATCATCTTTTCTTTTGCTTACTTTCCCAAATATTTAACTATTCGAATGACCTAACTTGATTTTATACATTAGAAACTCACTTGCGTTTTAATACGAGAACTTTGAAAACTACAGAGCTATCAACAGGATAGATTTGCTCAATAAAAAAGTTGCATAAGGTGAACTAACTTTTAATAAAGAACTCTTAGTTTCTATAAAAAATTTCCAATTCATATTAGTCTATTTTTACAACATAATTATAACAAACTTACATTTCTACTCGCTCGACTTTGATGCCCCAGGCTTCTGTAGCATCATCCAAAGATGTCTGAAATTAGAATATCAATTTAAAGCGCTATGCCAAATCTAATTAATAAATAAATTGTTCCATTATGAATTGCTTGGATTACGCGATACTGTTATTTCCGTTTGTTCTACTAGATGACAAAATCTTAAACACATAAGAACATTATGTACATTTGAAATAATTGAAATCCAAATTTGTATGATTTGTTTCCCTGGATACTGCACCAGCATCCAAAAATAAATCACTTTTTTAGATTTATTTATTAATCATAAAGTAAGATTTTTTCCGTCATTGTGACTATAATCAAAGTATATATTTTTTTATTTCAATATAGCAGAAACATTGATTATTTTCTTGTATACACAAATATTTGATGTTTAATGATTTTCTGTTACACATAGTGAATGTATAATTCATAGTTTAATTATGACTTATTTCAAAAATCATACTATCACTTTTTAAAGACATAATTTAGTTTTTCATGTATAAATGTGTTTTTTAACAAGGTCTTTATATCGAAGTGTTTTTAGAATAGTTTTATAAAACAATTCCATTTCCAATACACCTATTCTAATAAAGCAGAGTTTTTCAAGCCAGTAAATCTTCGACTTTCATGAAGTCAAACTCCAGTTAGCGGCTTCATTCACCTCTGTTTTTATTGTTTCGGTTAGTTGAAAACTTAAAGGTCCGTGTGCCTCATTTTTCAAGGGACCATTTTTAAGTTAAGGCAGTTTTATTATAATTTAGTTTTTAACCTTTTCAAATCACTCTATCCTGCTTAATCGAGAACTATCTTGATCATCACTATCATTATTGTAAGAAGGTTTCTAAACTAGAGTCTATTTGAGTCAGAATTGTTTTAATAAGATAAATTATTAAATTGTTATTGTATGTTATGTACTCAATATGACAAAACAAACTTTAAGCCCCCCTCTACATATTACAGACGTGTCAATGTTTCAAACCAATATAAATCCTTTTATGCCCAAATAACTTACATTTTGTTTTACCAACTATCATAAAAATAAAGGAGGACGAAGTTTTCTTTCATACACGTAGTCGCGTAACTTAATCATTACACCTTTACTACTCTGCAAACAGAGTTGTCTTTTAACGCAGGAAATAAACAGCTTTGAAAACGTCCCATTTGCAGATAAAGTACATTGTAGAAAGCTTCCTCGCAGTGAAATAGTCACTTTGTTCGGTAAACATGGACCACTTGTTTTCAGCATTATATGCCTCGTATCTCACTTTTCATTGCTTTTATATGTTTTATTATTTGTTTTGCTTTTATAAGCATGAAATATGTTATGAGTAAAAAGGTTTGAAATATATATATTCAAAAAGTGGTTCAATATATCTAGAAATTAAATTAAAAATTTTCGTATGGGTAAACTTGAAATGTAGGTTTTGAAACAATGAGAAGCAGTTGAAGTAAACTGAAGCTCAAAATTACTTAGATATATCGAAAGTCATTGATTTTGTTATTCCCAGATGATAAATAAAACTATCAGAACAAACCCTTTAAGACAGAAATTAAAGAAAACTTTACTTAGTAGTTTGAGTTTAATTGGTTTTTTCAAGATGCACCCTTTGAATATACGAAAAATTGTACAGCGAAAAAAGCGTAGGCTACACCTCAAATCTTGCAAAATAAGCGTACAGGATCAAGATTTGACGGATGACGAGGGTAAGCTATGACGTCAAGAAATTTAGACAGGTGAAAAATGCGTATAACCTTTTTCCACCATGATCTTTAGGGTAAATTCTACATCTTTTTAAACCATTGAACAACATGAGTGTAACTCTAAACTAAATATAAATGTCACTTAGTTTTTCAATGTTGGAGATTCTCTAACAGTTTATATATTTAACCTGATTTCCATCACACTTTTCCCAGGGTGTGAACTGTGGCAAAATGATAGAGGTATGCTGCACTATTATTTAGGCGTGTTTCGCAGCGTGGAGCTTTGGCATTTTTTTGTTTATTTTTAACTTTTAGAGTTTTTTTTTTTTTAATACCATATATTGCCAATTGACCATATTTGATTATTACGTCTAATCTAGGCTAATACATTTATTGGATGTAGGCAAGAGCCTACAAATGTTATTGTTATGTTAGGGGTGGATGGCTGGGGTGGTGCTAATTTGTACTCATTTTTCGTTTATAATGTTTACCACTTACCCTTTGTTAAATACCACTGTTTCCCCTTGACCGCATATTTCACTGCACGTTTGATTCGTGCGGAATATGATTAAAATGCATTAAAACGTGGTTATATCACACCACTACTAATGTGTTTACATTTTGACATGACATCGGTTCCATCAATTTAGTCACGACACATTTTAAGAATATCGATGATCAACATCTCTAATCAACAGTCTATTGTACGGGTGGTTGAGGTTTATTCGGAATACACTATGAACAAAAGAAAGTGTTCATGAGACAGAGTCGAAGACCTTTTCCACTATGTGATGAGGACCTTTACATACTGTCATCGCTACCTCAACTTCTTACGTACGAGTGCTTTGTCCATGAATAGTTGGCAAAGTTTCCACTAACCTGCATGGTGTTGGAAATGGCCTCTCGGTCACTCAGTATCTCATGGAGTGGCCTGGTACCCAGCACATTCCTCAGTGTGGTCTGTGCTAGCAGTCTCGTGGAGTGATGGGCATTGGCCACGTTGGCCACTGAGATAGTAGCATTTGATACTCTGTAGTAGACCACAGCGTCCACTGAGACGGTCACACTGTCTTTGGTCAGCACCTGGGTAACAACAGTGAAAATATAAGCTACCCTGTTTAGTGGCCTATTACAAGTTCCACCCCGCCTCTTGAGTACCTTACTTGTTTACTGTTTTCAAACTTATTTTACAATTTTCGGTACCCCTTATGAATGTAAAGGGCCTCTTTTCAACAAGAGTTTGCCCATCCACATGCCTCAGATCTCTTGAAATGTTTCAAAGCAATTGTTAACACTGGTATGTAAACCTGTAATATTACCTGCTTTAGGTGAATTGTTTGTTACTTAACTGCTGATTCATCGACTCACCATTATACATTTGGTTCTGACGCTATTGGCAATTGTCGTTTTTGGAAAGGTACACAACTAAACCCTGATATCTTCACAATTCAACTGATCTAATGGATATATTTTGTTAGTTAGCATCTTGAGCAATAGGTCTATGAAAAATGACATCTGACTCTGGAATTGACCATTGTTGGAATTGAGCTAGCAACCCTCAGATATGAATCCTAGCACCACAAATTAAATTGTTGTCTATCAATTTGTGGGAGTTCTAATACTAAATAGAGAATAGGGTTCAGGTACTGATTCTTGCTTTTTAAATCACACATCCATTGATGGTGTTCAGCATCTGTAAATACTGTAATACTTTGGTTAAGTAATCTTCCTCAATATTAAAGTAAAATTACAGAGCGTCTGAAAATTATATAGTAAATTGTCCTTAAACTGTTTAAAACAAATCAATATAAAAGCCTCAATAAGGAAGAATGTCAGCGTTTTCAGTTACAACATCACCAATCTGGTATAAAGATATGCATTTTCTGGGAATTAAAGTGCAGCTGAAACTGCATGTTACAACGAAGATTGTAAAATAGAGTACGGCAATTCATGCATTTTAAGCCAAAGAACGGAATTGAAGCATTGAAATATTGAAGGTTAAAATACAAATGGTCATATGTATTTACTATTTGTTGGGATGTATTGATGAAAAAATACAACTAACGATGTTCAACAAAACTGAAATTGTTATAGAAGGGTTCATGTGTGAATGCTTTCAATCTGGCTAACTGAAGATCCATTTGCCAATATAACTGTAGTTAGTTCATGAATTTTTCAAGGTTTTCCAAGAAAAATATTATCCTTTACCGAATAAATATCCTCTTTACCTGCATAAATTCTTTTTATCAATATCAGAAACAATAGTCCACTACTTGCATGAATAAAATATGAGAACAGAAAAATTTAAATTAAAAGAAAAGCTATACCATTTTGGAAGAGAGAATTACTCAAGATGACGTCTAGTTACGTGCAAAAGAACGTCTAGTTAGAGCATTTACTCTAGTGTTAAGTCAATAGTATTGTTAAATGAGTTTATTGGCACTTCCCAAAGGTTGTCCCTCAAACATGCTGCATGCTCATCACAAAATCATGCACAGGATCGAATACGCATGGGTAATAACTGAATACAAACATAAAAATCTTCATTTCATTCATAATTTTAAATTATATTTTTATCGGCATTCATTTTTATCCTTTCTATCTAAATAATTTTGGTTGGTAAATCGAAATTTCAACCGAATGGAGTACTAATGTCTTAACACGTAAATAGTGCAAAATCCTTACCTCCTGCGGTGGCACGTCATAGGTGCGCGTGCGTAAATCGACTCTGGCGTAGTTGTCGATGCACGGCAAGATAAAGAATATTCCTGCACACACAAACAGTGCCTACTTAATCATTTTTATTTAATTTATAGATGGATTATTGAATAAAATATGTGTTACTATGCAGGGTTTCCCCCGGACCCCTTTGGATTTGTCGATTGTCTCCACGAAAACATATTTGACAATATATCGGTCGATAACGCGTTGTCGTCTACCTGAGTTTTTTAAGTGGTGTATTCCTAACTGTAAAAGATAAAAATCTGAAACTCACTACGACTGCTAATTGTGTTATAGGTCCTGATGTATCGAATGTCACGTTTTTAGGTTCCACAGTTTCAAAATTCTTGAACTTTTATACTTTCAAACTTAAATATCCAAAAATCGGTCATACAAAATGAAAATAAGTAGAATAAATTGCAGGGGTTTCATATTAAATATTAATATAACGGGACATCATTTAAACAACTACAAAGTTCCCTAATCCCTACCATACTTAGATTTCATAATATGTTTATCTCGATATAAGTAACAAACCCACCAAAGGGACTAAGTAAGTAGTTCCGAAAAACCCTACATAGAAATTTAATACATTTTTGTTGGATTTTGGTATGTATTAGGGTTTAGTATATTTAAAATGTTGTGTTTTATCAGTTTATATGATTTACTTATGTAATCTTATTTTTAACAGTGACGAAATTGATACTCTTTTGTTGTTTTTGTTACATTTCTATGTCTGTATTCAATTATCTAGGTCTACTCCAGGCAGGACTGAGTAAATAGGACGCCCTACTGGCTAGGGGTCTACTACTTGCCTCTTGGGGAGGAATGTCAAACACAGCTGTTCGAATGTCGATCTTGGCGTATTGGTCTACACATGGTAGCACGAACATTATACCTGTAGAAATTGTACGTTCACTCGCTTGAACTTGAGTGAAAACCAAGATACCTTTTTGAATTTATTGGACAGTAAGTTAATGGTTAAAGTATATGCAGACTTTCACTGCCTACTTTCATGCTGAGGTGAATACTCGTTGTCTTAAGAATTAGACCATAAGTTGTAAATCTGTATTTGAATGTCGACGCTTCGGAGTGTCTTGATGATGGAGGACTGGTTTGTCTCCGAAAGGTCGTCATTCTATTAAATGTTTAACGAAACTGTCCAAACCTTATGACAACGAATATACATCTAGCAAGTGAATTGTTTATAAGGTATCTGTAGTATAATTGGAGTGCAATGTAGTATTTACGACTCTAATTTTAAAAGGTTCACTTCTCATTGTAACTTGTGTTTGTGTATACAAATTATCAGGCCTCACTCATTTAAATGATGAAAACGGAAATACAGAGGTATACGAAAAATTCGTTGGTCTATAACATACAATTTTCCGTCCAACACTTTGGTCAACTAATAGTATATTTCGTACCAAGGGCCGAAAATGAGGTTTTGCCGGCTCGAGATAGTTTTTAAGTTCGAGACGAAGTCGAGAACTTAAATCGATCGAGAGCTGCAAAACCATTTCGGTCCGTGGTACGAACGCTATTTTTCACCACACTATACCCTATTACCACTATTCACCACTATAATAATGCACACTGATAGTCAACACAACTACAACTTTAAGGTTATGTGAAGAAATAATTTTTGAGGAATCAGCAAAAATAAAAATAAATAGTTGCTAGGCAACGGTGACAATAACACAATTCTATTGCAATGCTATAGATTTTGATTGTGTATTTAAAATGCATTCATGTTTTAAGTAAGTAAGCGGACAGCTGATTTTGCGGCCCCGGCCTGTAAAAACCTGCTCGGTCCCCAAATTACGATGACAGCTGGCATGGCCAGCAAAACGTAACTTTCAGCCAAAAATTAACGTATGTAATACAGCCAAAAACATCATAGTGTGGTGAAAAATGCATTTCATTTGAGGATGCCAAAAACAAAGACAAACAAAATCTACTTTGTTTAAGATTTAACGACTTATCTTAGAAACTGCGCCAAATGGATCGAAAACTACAAAAGTCTTTTATCAAATTAGGTTTCTTGGAAGCAATTACTGACTGTCTGCCAAAGAGAGACCCATTATTGGATCTTGCACTAGTTTAACTTGTGTTGATTGCTTTTCTAACGCTTGTAAACATGTGTTTGAGACGGCTCCAAAGTTGACAAGATTCCTAACTTTATTTGATCTCTTAACTGCCTAAAGGTAAATTAGTCTAACATAACTTAAAGCGACTATGTGTGATTTATGCGATTTATATGGCCATAGTGTGTATTTTACTGTATGTGTGCACAGTGCTTTTATTCATATCTTGAAATAAATGCATTTCTCAAACTGAAAACTCGCTTTTACCTATGTTATATATCATCGCACCACTTTCTTTCAATTTACTAATTTACTTGGTACTTTCTGGTTTCAGCTTTAAAAACCAGTTATTTGATCAATTTCAAAACAAAGCATTTGAAGTATTAATTTAGTCCTTTAACATGACATGTTTCCCTTGTTTATTGGAAACTTCTATACAGAATATTATTACTTGGTTATACAAATATAAACATAGTAAGAGCAAAATAAGTTAAACAAAAAATAAACTTTACTGTTGTTGTTTTGTTCAATTGTTTTGAAACCTGAGTTTCTTGAGCTTAACTACAGGTGGCACACAAAAACCAAGTAAACTGTTTGGTAAGTTGTTGACATACACTACACTATGGTGGTCTAAGCTAATTCATTGTTGTTTGCTCTCTTTGATGTTCAATCTACCTTCTCATCTTGTGTCATCAAATGTCTATACTGCGCTGCAAAACTAACTCTTAGATAAGGACAAAGACATGCTTGCTTAATACCGTAAACAGATATATTTGACACAATAATTTTACTTAAACCTTGAAAAGAAAGAAGAGTTTGCAAGTTTGAAGAAGATATACAATACATTTTATGGAAAATATTAACATTATTTTTTTACTGAACCGGCATCATATTTGATTAATTTGTATGGTCAATTTCTACATAAATGTTAACTAATAAATTAGGAGAAGAACTGAGTAGGAGACGAAATGCTCTGAAACTGTACGTATTATGAGGATAAAACTATAAAAGACCATTTTGTTTTCGTGTGGAGACCTCGACTAACCAATTGCGAACCACAGATGTTCAATAGACCCATTGGCTTATGCAAAGATTTATGTAATTAGCAAGACAAATAATTAATGGCTTCTTTGCTTGAGATAATTTATGATACGCAACTAGTGTTTTATAGACAAACAAAAAGTATAGTTTCATTTACTTATCAAGACCGTGACGTACCTTGTGCACTTATTTTAAACTCAATTAAAATACACGGTGATTTACCTACTAAGAAATACTAATGCTAGCCATTTCTTTGGTAGCTAGGGGCAATTATTTTAAGTCCAATTATTAAAGACAACTGGGTTAACTTTTAAACCATTAAAAATCTACTGTATCCCTTTGGGGGTACGAAAAAAGTAAAAAATATATGACCTACTGACAGTTACGCAAAACCTATAACCAATCAGCCACCAATATATGTATATTTATGATTGGTTGTGACAAAAAAATTCTGGTTAAATCTATATTACTATCTTTAATAAGTGTTACACCAACCATACTAACACGCTTTCGAAGAGTAAAGAAAACGTTAAAATCTTAGCATGACCTAAATCGTTAACTTGTTTCATGATGCCAAGCCCTAATAAAGTTAAAAGTAATATTCTTCATATATTCCTTACTTAACTATTCAATAGGTATTAAGTATTTAAAGGAAAAAAAATAAAAATGTTACCTGGGCCTTTGGCACCTCCGGAGACGAGTCTGCCCAGCCTGAATATCACCGCCCTCTCGTACTCTTGTACCACCTAGAAAAGATCCAACCATTTAATGAATTTTAATATCTTGAATCGTTGGCAATAAGATTAAATAAGGCTTATTGTAAACTGTAGAACGATCTGTAAAAACTAACAGTATCAAAATCATTAGAAAAATAATTTGAGTTTAATGTTTAGTCTCTACTGAGAGGCTTCTTATAAAAATAATCAGCTGGCCCAAACAGATGGATTGTTGTCTACCCAGGTATCAAATGCTCACTGTACAAGTCAATCAACTAACCATGCCTTTCAACTGATTATGTGCTTCTAATTCATTAGTTTTAGAATAGCCTTCTTCTCATCCTATTATTATATCTGAAGGTGATATCTGTAAGTGCGTGTGATCTTCGGATCGTTTAGGTGAGCCAAATACAGAAATGCTTCTCTGTATTTTTTCATACATATTATGATTACTACTTAACTGATTTATTTAATATCTATATAGTAACTATATAGCATTGCTCGTGGTGTTAAATTCGTAGGGGACTTAAAAAAGTAAACATAGGCCTACTGAATGTACAATTGTCCATGATATTATAAAGTACAGTCTAAAATATGTAATAAAACAAATTATACAGGTGGACTGCTTTCCTTCTAAGGCTTCATTCATTACTGTATTTTATTTCCGACTTAGAGTCAATATATAACACGATTAATTTGTTTTCTAAATTCATATGTTATTTTGCGGTGCATTGAGCCGCACGGGTTCACTAGTAAATGTATAATACAATTTTATCATGCTCACGTATTGGTTCTATTTCCAATGTTTCGTCTCTGAAAAACATTGTTGGCCTAAATAAAATCGCATTACTGATACAGGAAAAGATTACCAAAATGAAAATTCAGCATTAAAAAATAGTATTATTACAGTATGTCATTTTTTAAAGCTGAGCCATTGTATAAGACTTGATGTTATAGTAGTTAAACACATATTTTATAATGTAGTTTATTGGCCTATATTTGACATCGGTTTTTCTATACCAAATAGAATTAATGGACTTCAATAAATTAATTAATTAATTGCCGTTAGATGCATCGAACAGTTTTGTGATAGGTCTAAGAAAAATTTTATTTGTATTCAAAACTAATGAATTCTACTTATGAATCAACTACTATAATGCATACTTGTTATAATGTAGTTACGTAGGCTGAATTTAAGGGGTTTGAGAGACAAAAAATGGCATAGCCTCTTTATACTCTTGAGTCTAATCCATACGAGTGTGAAGATGTTAGTTTGTATAGGTACTAAATTATATTTAAAATATGTTAAAATCAAACTATTAATTTGGAACTCTAGTTAACCTATAAAAACGCACCTTAGTTGTTTTACGTGTAAATCATCTCCATTTTCAATTTTGCCACGTTTAATTAAGTTGTAAAACCAATTTTTCTTCTGTAAACGTTTCCTCTTCATTCTCAATTTCATTAACAATCATTTCCATGAAGACGAACAATCAATATTGAAACTATCTACAATAAAGTTCACTAACAAACTCGTGATATATTTAACATCTCAGCTGTTGACCAGCATTGTTGCGAGTTGCGAATATTGTGTGTTCTTTGGTTGCGACATGTTAGTAATTTGATCGCGGAACGTCACAACAATGGGATCGTCCACGGATATTAGAACAGAAACGATATGCATAAAACAGAATGACGTCACTGGATAGAATCTAATACTAACAATCTATATAATTTTTGACATTTTTCTACAATTGCATTGAAATAATAATAAAACATGTTTATTTTTGGGGCATTTGTTTGTTTATGGTCCATAAGCTTCTCTATTTTATAATCCGTGGGATCGTCAAACAAAGCGTCCATTGCGGTGGCGCATCGTCAAAAACTACAGAAACTTCTTGGGTTTTCCTCAATACTCTTAGTTCAGCATTATCGTTTAATCTTTTATGGTAAAACATTCTAAGATTTTTGAACAGTCGTATTTATCCCTTTGCTCAATAAAACACCCCGAGAGTAGGTTCTATTAAATAACCAATGCTAAATCGTATTCGTGGTGGTGGGAATGTCCTTTTCTTTTGTACTGTATTTAGTAAATGTTATAAGCATTTGTTATCTATGCTAACTATATTATATTGCATCTGTTATAAGCATGTTATAAGCATATGTTATAAGCATCTAGTAAATGTTACAATAATAACATTTTCGTAAAGCTGTCATGGCTACCTAGCCGAATTTTCCCAGAACAGAGGCTTGCATGGATATTGTTTTTAGCCTGAAACAAAGATATTCCTTACAATTTAGAAGAAATTGTAGGAGCCGTTTTTGAAATCATTGTGCGCAAACGTAACTCATATTATAGTATAGATAAAACTAATGAGGTACACGAACCATTGAGAAAACGTACACAACGTCCCTATCAACCACATTCTTAAATAGAAAGAAAGGCCCTTGTGTGAAAATTCCCCGCAAAATATAACTTTTTCTATAAACGCTTTCCTCAGGGCAAGACCCTCAATTAAAGGGCTATCTATTTAATTACATTTAAAATATTGAAGATACATCATCGGTTAGGTTTGTTTTTATTTATACTCGTAGTTTGTTAACTTATTCTCTGAGTTATTCTTTTGAGCTTCATTATAGATGTTTACATTACGATAGATTTATTAGCTTTGATTAGGCCACACAGTTTAATGCAAAAACAAAAGATATTTTCACTAAAATAAGCAATATGTAAGATTTGACTGCATGATTTGCTTGGTAAGTGTGTGTAACCGTGTACAGTAGATTTAGTTACTCACATTATTTTCTTAAGTATTCTTGTCCCGAACACATAACTTGTGCGAAGCACGCACAGAACAACTAGTTCTAGATAAATAGAATTAGTTCAAAAATAAACTGTTATACTTATATAAATTAATGTTAAGGTTTATTAACAACCTAACACCAAATACTGTAACAAAACCCCTGACACGTAACACGATGGAACCAACCCTAAATATGTTCTGATAATCGATCAAGATGATAAACTTACAAAAAGGATAAATTCACAGTATGTTGAACTCCAGATTACGTTTGTCTCTTTTGCGCAAATCGTTAAATTTGACAAAAGGACAGATGAATTAGTAATGACTTCGCGCATTTGACAAAGCCGTTGCCGTGTCAGTAACAGTTTATTGACATCAATAGATTGACACGCGAAAGCTTTAGTATTGATATGAGTTGTATCCTCCACAAAGATACAAAATGCTTTTGAATTACCCGTGCAGTTATAACAGTCTTTTTTCCTTTGCTGGAAATAAAATGAGACCGGATTAGTGTGATTTTTCCTTACCATCGAAATCTTTTTGCAATTGTTCTTTGTCACTGTAAATTTATATAATGTAAAGAGTACTCAGCATTAGGATGGTTATTGAACCCAGAGACATTTGAGAAACAATCAAATATAACTGGAATATTGAGATTGACAAAATATGAAATTCATACGACTCGAAGACATTTTGAGGAACAATCTAATACAACTGGAAATTTGAGCTTGACAAAATACGAAATTCATACTTCTATTCCTGAACGATAGCGGATGTACTCTCTTCTGCATTGAAAAGTTAGTAGGCGAATTCCTCATACATATAAAGTTGTAATGTTATAAAGAAATTGTGTTATTTATGCCCACATTAAAATCTAAATGGTTGATTATCTTCTTGGCCTAATCTCTCTAATAAATCAATCATTTACAATTTATAGTGGTATTATATTCTCGTGAATAAACTAACTCGTGAATGTTAAACCATTGTATTTGTGTCAATCGGCACTATCTTAGAGCGACTACGACTGTATTGTTTTTACGAGTATATTCTTGGTTCAGAAGACGACAGACAGTGTAGTTAAGGTTGTTATTAAGGTTTAGAAACAACAAATATATAAAACAATGAAACAAAACGAAAAAATGTCGCACCACACCCTATTTTTAGTCAAGGTAACAACAACAACTAAATCCCAATTAACTTTTGCACGGATTAAAAAAATGCAAAATTTTAATTTTCTTATTTAAAGCAGCGCTATTTAGAACGAACTTTAATCACTAGCATTTCACATTAGATGTTCAACTATATGTTGGTGTCTTGAGATTATGCAGTTGGAAACCAATATATATTTATATTTTTTTTGGGGGGGAAAAGAGCTTTAGCGATCAAATTTAGGTAACTTGAGCCAACAATCCGAACTCTTCAGATAGCCATTTTCAGATCAGCAACTAAGTAGGCTTCTGCTACTAACTGGTGTACTACTAATAAGTAGTGGTCCAGTACTTAATATGTGCAAGGCCAAAACTACAGCCGAAGTTGCCTGTATCATGTTACGGGTTTTTTACCTACGAGACCAAGTTATTGAACAAAGACATTGTTTAATTTAGTTTAGTTTTGATTATGCATTATTAAGAAGAAAATTATATTTTGCAATCACTGCGCTTTAGGTGGAGGACGATTTTTGAGCCAAATGTAATAACTTTACTTTAAAATCATTTATGGTTTTTGTACATTACCTTAAAGCAGACGAAGAGGGAGAAGGGTAGCGTGCAGACGACGACTACCCACGACAAGGCGGTCAAAATGGCGCCACATATCCCTGAATCTCCCGGCTCAGCGTCCTCCGCTGGAACAACCCCAACATAAATGTCAACAAGAATGGTGTTTATGATAATAAGCACATAAAAACATATCGTCTAGCTACTTGTTAGGATATCAGATCTGAATAGGAAAGAGTCCGATTTGACAAAAGAAACTCAAAGACTTTACAATATGCATACAAATCAGAATATCTCACTGTCATTGATAAGCATTTTCCAAACCAAGGGCAGTTTTAATTTGGTAGGGTTCAGGTCCTAAACTTTACAGTGACAAACCTTTCAACACCTTTTCAGGTTCCAGAGTGGACCTTTCTCCATTAAAGTAAGTCTGCTATACAAACCTGATTTCCTTAATATAGGATATTGTACTCGATGATAAATCCTTAATCATACGATTTTATTAATGATTTTTTTTAAATATTACTTCCTAAGGTGGAAAACTTGTATATTCAACGGACGAATTTAGAATATTGTAAAACACCATGTGGAACGATATTTTCCAGATTCAACTTGTGTAGATGATAGATTTTGTTGCAATAAGTATTTTTTGTTGTGTTTATATCGGTGGAATCTGATATGAATCCATCTATAATCACTTTTAAGGAAAATGGTCCAAATTTCTCATATACTTGTATATTTTTCGGGAATCGGACTCGTTCTTCTCTCGACGAAGGGTGGGACAATGGCCACTATTCCAATGAAAAATCCTACATTAACAATGTTACCACTTTATCTAAATGGTAATTTTTAAAGTACTAAAATTGTTCTCAATACTTATAATTTCGAACTTGAGTATAACAATTCATGATAACAGTATACATGTTTCTAAATTGTATTACCTTTAATTATTAATTGACTATTACTAGATTAAACAAGAATGAAAAAAAACTTTCATCAAGAACTCATGTATTAAACAAATAATAAGTCTAGAGAGATTATTTATAAATAGCTCCACTGCTCAAGTTCTATTTCTGAACAAATTATATTCCTTGACCTTTTATTTTCCACTAGGATGCGCCAGTGAATGGAAAATTCACTCACTTATAACTTTCCAACATCGTAAGAATATAAATAACAGTTTTTATACATATTTCTGTCATTTAATTTTAATTTGTTATTTATCGCTCTTTCCCCTCTTATAAATTTATCCAAAGAATGTTTCGTGATGAAAAGTTACAATAATGGAGTGTAAACTTAAGCTCACAGTATACACATTTTGAATTTAAATGCCACGTAAAATAAAAAACGTAAATCAAATGTAGTATTTGTAATGCGTTACGGTGTAATTCCAATGCATTAAACTGTAACCTAGCCATTTCAACAATTACAACATTGTGTAGAATAAGTAACGTTTAACACAAACCACCTGTGTGTGTTAAGCTCCCTGGTAGATTTTATACTACATGGATTATCGTTTTTGTTTTGTTTCAAAATATTTTCAAACTCCTTCAACTATATAATAAACTATTGGAAGGCCATTGCTTGATTATTACTATATAACAACAAAAAGGATAGGCACAAATTACAAATTTTATAAAAAAAGGACTTTAAAAATCTGCAAGAAGAATAAAAAAATGTATTTCAAATTACCACTCAAGCATTGCAAACATGAAACAAAAAGTCATACACGCTTCAAATTTCCTGTGGGACGATAGGTCTAATTTCACTGTTTAAAGTCAATGCAATGTGGATAGGATATCCACACCAAAATACATGTATTATGTATAAAATTCTCAAATACTTGAAATATTCCTGTGTACTTAAATTACTCTCAACACCAGATTTTTTCTAACTGAGACTCTAACGTTTGCCTAGTTCTGTTAGGAACCCTGTGTAATAATTTTATTTTATTAATGAATCCCACAACAATGGCATGCGAGCCGTCAGACAACAAACAAAGACTACATTGCCACAGGTGGTTGCGTCAATACGGTAACTATAGCAACCGAGGACTCCGATCCGCTTGTAAGTGTAATAAGAGAGTCAAGTGTTGTCTTTACTTTTGCGGGATGAAATCATCAAAGCGTTGCGTGGAGCTTTCATAACGAGCGCTTTAAAAATGACATTATATTTCTCCAAGGTTTCACATTGGATACATTCGAAGTCATTGAATTACCACCTTGGTACTATATTTTGAATAAAGCATAGAAGTAGTAGTAGTAATTGAATAGGAGCTTTGATTATTGATGGGACTAGACATTCAATCCCCGTGTTAAAGTTGTCGCAAATCTTGTAATAAAAATTGACTCAGTCGAAGTGAGCCACCGACAGATAGTTCTGATATAAATATATTTCTGTGTCATATGCCAATTTGGTTTACCAAAAAAAATCATAGACAATTTATTATAAGCCATGGTATCTTTTATGCTCTTTTAGCTATCTCAGTAACAAAAGAAGGTAGAAAATATAATTTTAGACAAAAGCCTACTCTGAGACAGGTTTACTCAACCAGCCTATGTTATTTTTTAATGAAACCTTTGAGACAGCTGATCCATATAGATGTGATGTCATCTTAGGATACCATAAAATTTATCAATTTATTCCAATCTTGACAGCAACACAACCTGTAAGAGGCTTATTGACCATTAACTTCTACCATTGACTTTTAGATTAAAAAATTAATATTTAATAGTTTAATTAGTTCTTATACCTTTTACAGGTTGTGTTGCTGTAAAATCTCTATATACTTCTATGGTTTATGTGACATAAGAGATTCTATAGTTTTAATAAATTATCCTTTTAATTGTGCTTTGCTAAATAGTTAAAATATTCAACAATAATAATTTATTAACCTACCAATTGTAAGTAAAGGTGTTCATTTCAATGATAGGGACACTTCTGGCTGACTATAAAGTTCTTAATATCATTGAATAATTAAGTATTGTCAAATCGTTATATTACCTAATTATTTGGCCTAAACCAGCAAAACAACTAAAAGCCGAGCTCCAAGAGCTTTCTAGTGCCAAAACCTGTAATTAACAAAAAATATGTTTATGGTTCCTAGTAAGTTAAAAAATATGAACCTATCAATGAGTTATATCATGAAGGGCAAATTTATGAGTTTTAGCATAACCTAAAAGTTTGATTATTTTGCAAGATCTTAGTTGTTTCGTTTGGCACGTTCGTGTACTCCTTTACTACTCGATTTTTAGTCGGCCGATTCTAAAATTATGTTTCATGCTGGTATGCTTGTCAATAACTTAGGAAAAATTCATTCTGGAATTTTCAGTTTGTCCTCATTATTTGTGTGTCAATATACAGATTCTATTACAGCATTTTTAGTCTCTGTTTACAGACGTTGCCGAAAGTAAACCACTCCACGGCTGGTCTAATATTGAATTTTGAGAGAGACAAAATATTGACATAATTTTCAAGAAAAACTTTTCGCTTTTGCACGTGTCAATGTTTGTTTTGCTAGAAAATAAGACAAAATGAACTACGTAAGCTACGCATATTTCATGATATTTGTAATAAGATTGTCATAAAATAAAATGGATCGGTAGTAGATTATTCATACAATAATTAAAAGAATGTTTTTATAGTTGAAGATTTTGAAGATTTTATTTTATACATTTATAGTTGATGATACGTTTAAGATTTTATTTTATACATTGTGATAGGCCTATGAAAATATATATTGATAGAATGACTTGTCATTAGATATACTGAAAACTAAAAGATCTGTTCATTATTTGTCATTGTATTTAATGTATCGGATATTGAAAAAAATAGAGGGAGTCCCACAATACACATTTTAAAAAGCAGACAGTGTTTCTTCACTTGTCGATGTAGGAAAATGAGCGAGGGTCGATGAGATCCTTTTGACCTACTTGATCAAATATTCTTCGACATACTCCACCATTCTTTATGCTAAGCTACAAACGAATTTGTTGTATAGTTTTAATATGTTGATGTTGAATGTTTTGACTGTAAATTGTATATGCAAGGACAGATAGTTTTATTGGATAAAAATAAAAACGGCTGTTGAACTATTTGTCAGGTTTTAGAAATTTCAAAAATACATGCATCCGAAATTATTAACTAATAAAGGGATTACATTAACTAAGCTTCTGTCAAAACACCCCGTTGCAGTGCAAATCGACTGCGCTGAGATAACCGGAGTACATCGTCAGGTCGGGTTTAATTTAAAACCTCTGACGAACTCAAGTACGAGGGGTTGTAATTAGCTGACATTCCGCTGTTATGATTTGCTCAAATTATCGCAGAACAAATCAGCTGTAGTTGATTTGAACTAAAACGGATAAATTTTACAGAAAATCTGGTACATTTACTAAACATTTATTATAGTTAATTTAAACAAAAGAGGGAATACTCCACCATGGATAGTAGATTTGTTGGTAGTAAATGCATGTGACTCAATTATTTACACAAATACCAATAATCATAATATATATATATACCTATATTTAATTAACTATGATTTTTGCAATCAGGGGATGGAGTTGACATATCGTAGGGACACAGATAATACAAATTCACTAGCTGAACTTATTTTGCTCTAATCATTACAATAATAACTTGAGCCCTGCTACGTGTGTATTTGAAAAGTCTTTTTGCAGCAGTATAACGGTATAGATGTTGAAAACTACATATGGATGGAAGGAGAAGAGAATACGGGTGTTTTACACCATCGATCCTCAGCACGGAAGGGTTTAGCCCCTCCTAAACTGCTGATTGCGACTAAACATCTCTAGACCTTCAGATGGCTGATTAGACCTCCCACCCACAGCTGCACTTTCTTGTAAATTACTTTTCTACCTTTTCGTGCCATCAATTCCACCTCAATTGTGGTAAAGTTGCGTTGACCCAACGTTTGTAAATATTAAAAACTAAACTGTACGGATAAAATACGATCTTTCAACATTATACGACCAAGTGACACGAATACTGTTAAGTGTTAACATTTGGTGTGATGTATGTTATAGTCTCATTGTTTTTACCAGTCCCATTGGTAATCATCAGTCCTGATTAGAGGCTGGATAATTAACCCTTGATTAGATACAAATACTATTGTCCCTGGAAGTGTTAGCTTTCCCACAGTAAACTAATAAATATATTGTTTGGATTGCCAAGATTTATTCATATCTTGATCACCATGGAGTTTTTCATAAGTCAACAATTAAATAATTAATATCCCACTGAAAACCGTGTACGTTTTGTAAACAACTTATCGTAAATTTTTCAAAGTGCACGAGTGAAGTATTTGGTTTACTGTTAATATTAGAAAGTCTAGTTGTTTTAGTTTCTCATAAGTATCTACACTGGTCGAAACAGTTAACATCAGCCGGAAAAATATTTACAAAGTTTCTTATTCATTAGTAACAACAACAACAAAAAATTTATAACAAAGATCTTGAATAATATTTATGTTTATTAAGAGTATATGTTAATGGTTCTAAACCTGAAATGTTATCTTGATTGAAACTGTTGTTTTGTGTGCATATGTTAGCTTTATAATTAATTTGTTTAAATGTCGGTTCTTCAGGTAAAGTACGTTATCTTTTGAAAAGCACTGTAATTTTCGTACTTAAAACCCCCGGATTGATTAAGCTATGTTTACCACAGTTGCATCCTAAACAACTATAAAGAGCATTGCAACATATAATTTGTACAATTAATTACTTGTCAACATGCAGTATTGATAGTATATTTATCATGCTGAAATTTACACAAAGATATGAAAACATTAATTAGTTTAAGCACAATACAGAATATACAAGAGTTGTTTGGCATTCTACATGCGTTCTCTTACATCTTCGATGGGCTTGGTTTTGGACCATCTTGAGTTTATCGGGGACCGTCTTCTAGCCTCCTCCGACACGTAATTCCTTTATCCTCGCCTGCAAGTCATAAAATGTGTACTATCTAGGAAACTGGACTATAAGTCTTTATAAAGTTATTAAAACTAATGTTACTTTAATAGTTTATCAAATTAATTATTTTTCTTGCGTTTTTGTATATGGTTTAGTTTATTTAATTTGTAAAGATTGTTTTGAATTTTGAGCCTTTATCTAAGTTTGTATTCACTCGATTCCTTAACTCGTAATATAAGTAAATGTATTACCATTTTAAGTTTTTTATCTGCTGTTTTATCAATTTAGAATGTTTTATATATTCAAATGAGATATTTTTAGTATGTTGATTAGGATGGAAATCGGGCATATTATAGGGTCTAGTAAAGGCGGCCGTCTAACTTTTAATGAAGGAAACAAATCATGCTAAGCGGACTTCTGAAGTCTGTATTTATAAAGATCCCCTCCATCTAAACGAAAATCGAATTACGTGTTTCGTAATCGGCAATTTACTGTACAACACTTTTGAAATGCATTTAAATTAAACTGCTGCATAGTTATGTAGATCCATGGTATATTTTCTTTCTCAAAAATATTTTTTTGTTAAGTATGAATCAAACGTATTACCTCATCTCTCTAGGCCAAGAACTATTTTTATTACGTATCCATTCATGAATGTAATTTTACGGTTTATCTAACTTAAGAATCTAACTTGAGATAAAACTGGTTTATTTAAACGTATCAATTAATACAACTCTTATTTAATGTTTATTAATAGGTAATTTATTTATAAAAAAACTTCGTTTATTAATCTAGTGTGTTAATCTCATTCTAAGTATTGATCCTCTTTTGCTCTAAATACATGAAGTTAAAAAATCATATATTACGTTGGCAGTTTTATAAGAAACCCCTTTAATTACAAAGCTTAATATTTAAACTCCTGTGTGATAAACATATTTAACTGTCGAATTTTCTCATAAACCACTTTAAATATTCGTTGATGAACCTAGTTTTTAAACTATACACTATAATTCGTATACGCTTTGTTTCCTTGGCATTGAAATTTAATTTAATTCGGTGAACTCTATGGATTATTTAGTAATTAATTGTCATACCTATTTCTGTTACTTTTTAAGATAAGCTTCTCCCACAAAGCCTATAGAGGCAAATAAAACCAAAATCCCAAGCGTATTTATTCTAAAATGGTCTCCCAGGCTGCAGAAGTCATAGATTTTATCAGTTTCATTTATTTATTATTGTAAAACTAGTTGTTAGTGGAAGTTACTCGTACGCTAAATAAAGTTACTCTTGCGTCCGATGTATCAGTCTTAGAGGGTAGAGTTAAACATGTAACACAGAAAAACCCTGAATACCAAACTTCTTATCTATTTTACAAAAAACTTAGTAAAATAAATTGTGTAGGCCTAGCTTATTTATTTAAACTAGTGGCTTATATGGGCATAAGTCCCTAAAACGCTCAAATATAAAACAAATTATTGCAATTCCGGCATTTAAACAAACTCAGAATAACATTATCTATGTGTCAGGATATGTATACATATGTACACCATATCTTTTGTGTAAAAAACAGTTTGTTGTCCGTTTTTGCTAGCTTTATTTGTTGATGGTATTTTCAATAAATAATTTGAATCACTCCAGAGCTTAAACATGAAAAGGCAGCAAAGATACCATTGTTTGTGAATAAATACTGGTTTACTAAGGCAGCTTTGGTCTTGTGGTTAATGATGATAAATAAAAGCTTCCCTGATTGGAATTTTAGAAATTGTCTTCGTCAACGGAAACTACCTCTAGGTTTTACTATTGTATATGGACGCTCCCTTTACTACCGTGCATGCTAGGCTATATTATTTGAACCATTTTTGCTTGGAGCAACAGGCAGTACCTGGTTAAAATATTCTCCAAACAATATTGTTTTTCCGCCTTTTGGAACTTGTCATAGTACATGCTTAATGAACAAATATTACTATTTCCTGTACTATTTCATATTTATTCCCAGGTTGTTTTCTAAGAGTGGCCGTTGAGGTTAGTCCACTTCATACATTTTGTTTGAATGAACGATAAATCTAAAATTAAAAATGCTAGTAGTCTAAATATACAAAAAAGTGTAGAATAAATCTTTAACATATGCTTTGAAATGATAAAAAAATCATGATTATTTTTTCATTTAATCTTGAATTTTGGTTAGCTATTACAGTATCATACGATGCATTTGACTGGAAATTTAGTTTGTCGTTTAGTAGATCATAACTTTGGCTTTTTGTTGCTTTGTATATCTCGTACTCTTCTATAGCGTTCATGAAGCTTTGTGCAAAAATGTAGGGGTGTCATATTTGTTTCAAAATTTGTATAGTTATGATTTTCATTAATGAGATGGGCTGTATAATTGGATTTTAAATGATTTTTTTGCTTTTGGAAGGTGTTCTTTGAATCTGGTTTTGAAGGCTCGGCCGGTTTGTCCTATATAAAAACTATTGCAATCATCACAAGATAATCTGTAAACTCCAGTTTTTTCCCCCTGTTTCTAGATTATAACTGGACGAAGGATTTAGTAATTGTTGTAGTTTGTTCGAAGTTCTAATCGCTACCCCGATGTTTTTCTTTTTTAATTCGTTTTCAGTATATTCGGAAGCCTTAGGAAAAACTGGAGTTTACAGATTATCTTGTGATGACCTTTAATTTGAGCCCTCTCCCGTCATTCTATGACTTCTCAGTCGCCCACAATTTTGACGCAAAGAATCGGCTTACGTAATTAATATATAGATGAATGATTTTTTCTAAACACCCCATCGACAACTAGAAGTTAGATGACTGACGACCAGTTGAAGTAGTTGACTTGCAACTCACGTTTCAGGCAAAGGTTCGTTCCTCTACTCATCACTGGTGCTATGTTCTGGGATTACAGATGGATTGACAGCAGGAAATTCCGTTACAACATGAAACCGCACTCAACTGGGTTTATAAAACTGTTATTATACTTATCAAAACGGAGTCAACAGTGAAGTCGAGTTTTGTTTTAAATTGTTAGTGGTTTTTTTATTCAGTCAAAGCTCAATGATTTTTAGATCAATATTTTTTTATGCTCATCGTAAATATTTACCATCAAATTAATTTAAGAAGTATCAAAGTAATAATTAAATTCACTCTTCATCATGGTTGTCATGTTGCTCATAAAAATTGTTAATGTAACAATTGTGTATTGCCAATGACTTAAACAGGGCTTTTATTGGTTTAGCCTAAACACTAGTTCACCCATATCGTACGTATAAGTACCAATTTAAGTTGGTCAAACGTTATAAATGTAATGGAATTAACTGAATTTTCTATGTATTTAATACCATTTTAAAATCATAACCAAAATACATGAATGGATCAAAGGTTTTCAAGGCCCTTTGACATTACATAGTATGAAAATTTTGTTGCAGGCTACCTCAGAAGTTATGAATGTTAAAGTGATTCATGGACCACAATCCAACTTTGTTCATCATTCACTGTCAAACTACCACAACTGGTATTATTTAACTTATAATGATCATAAATAATGGAAACACCTGGGAAAACTATAGATCTTACAGAATCCATGTAAACCTTATCTTTAACATTAGCGTAAAATCTGAACTTGCAGTTTTATTTCTATTTGCATGTATTATATGAGTGAAGGATAAGTGTAGAATGGAGTGAGATGTCTGCTGTTTCATTTGACAGGAAAATCCATATATAAAGCACAAAGTACCCATGAACTTTTGTGAAAACTACAAGTCACACCCCCATAAACCAAATACTTAAAATGTTCGTCATGACGAGAAACCTTGCGCAGAACTATCTATTATTTCATATTAATTGCCCTTTAAGGTCATAATTCCTTTTTTAAGGGATCTTTCCATATTTTTAATGTTTAAAAATACCTTTGTCTGTTATTCTTTCAATTTATTACCTTATTAAAATCAGGTGTGATTATTTTACTGTATTCTGTTTTGTTTATTTTAACTAACCAATCAAAAGTTTTATTAATACTTATGAAGTCAAACGGGGTGAAGCCCGTGGGTAAGAGCTAGTTAATTTAAAGCTTAATTATCAGGGACAGCTGGAGCTGGGCCCAGTCGAACTATCAAAAAATGTCTGACTTTTATCAGAATCTATACTGCAACATTTTGATTGTTATGTGAGCACTATAAGCGTATGTTATAAAAAGCCATGTATTTATGCTCAATCACACCTCCAGTCAGAAATAAAAAAGACATGTATGGTAAAAAATATTGGTCCGCAAAAATCCTATCCCTTTTACATGTTTCTCGAGACCCTTCTAATTGTAGATATAATAACACATACATCGTTCCAACTAGAGATGACGATCTAGCAAATTAGTTAATAAAAAATCACATACTTAATTTCATTAAACCTTTTGTGACCATATTTTCACTAAATATCATAGGGTATTTAACAACTTACTTTTTGCATATTCTAAAACTGTGTTTATAGTTAGAATAACATCCTTGTTTATTCTAAAACTACAAGTACGTAAAACGAGATAACGACTCAACCTACCAATAAAAGAGTAGTTTTATGTTTTCTGTTTATTTTTACGACTGCACCGGGGTCGTATGGCTTGGAATAATCCTTTCTGCAACGACAGAACCAGCTGAGCTTTGAAAACGGCAAACGTGTTGTATACCAGCTACTGTATTGGATATGCAATGAATTATTTATATTTTAATTTTTTTTTTAATTCCTCCCCCTCCGATTTTACAAAAAATATATTAGGGCCTACATTAAAACCAATGTAACAGTAGTTGTATGAAATCTCCAGATTTCTTTAGTGGCAAACATTTAAGACTGTAGTGAGATAAATTAGTTTCCCTGGATTTATATGTTTCATTTATAAGTAAGCAATTAGTAGCAATTGACTTGTTCTCCGTAAGAATGACAAAGAGGACAATGCATTTTTTCACTTTCCATGTCTCAATAGGAAATTTGAGTAAAATAACGCACACATGTTTCCTTATTAATCCTTTATTTTGAGGTGGATTATAAGT